CAGGGGAGGGGGGTTTGTGGTAGAGAGAGAATTCGACTCTAGCGGCAGTTGGCATTTAGCGGTTTTTATAAGGTAGCATATTTTGTGGGTTAGGCCTCTGTGCCTGTGTTTGGAAGGTCGTTGGCTCAAACTCCAGTGTTGGTGGGTAGCCATATCCCTTGAGCAAGGTTGTAACCCCCCCCCCCCCTCCAAAAAACCAAATGTTCCAAACCCTGGATGGGCAGTTGACCCCAAGCTTCATGCTCACCTCTGTATGAGAGCAAGATGGGGTTTGCGGCAAAACACATTACGGTGTACCTGTTCTTATGCAATTAAAGCTTCTTTTCATTAAAGACAAATCTCAATACTTTAACCTGGAAGTCCTGCCAGTGGTGGGCACAGCTGACCGAAAAGTTAGCTTCCACTTACCGGTCAGCAGCATCGTCAGCCACTCAATCGCTGCCGGTCCGATTATTTTTTTTCCCCCCCGAGTTCTTCCTCTATTCCGAGTCCTCGGAGAAGCTCGGTGACATCACAGGCAAGCGTCCCGTGTGGGTGGGGGCCATGCTGAAGACTTCTGGAAATGGGTCCGCTCTCCATAAAATTGTCTGGATGGAAAGAATGGCTTAAAGAAGCCAGGATGGGGTCCATGGTGAGGTGTGAGGAGGTGAGGGGGCATGTCTGCAAGGAGCGGGGGGGGAGAGCTCCTGGCAGACATGGCTCGCGTTCTGGGTGGGGACAGTCGTCGGGGGTTCGTCGTGTGGACAATGTAGGGATAATGCACATGCCGGCATCTTCTCCCTCTGCGCAGCGGATCCTCACGGCTCCTAGATCCGTTCCTCTCCCTCACTCACTTCCTGCTGGCCTGCCGGCCATCCGTGATGGATTGCCGAGCCGAAATCCGCCCGGGAAGCACGGAAACACACGCAGGAACAATATATGCAGTCACAGAACGGCCCACACGCTCACTGCCAGACACGGGAATAGGCAGCTACACAAACACACATGCACGCACTCCCGAAATGCTGACACAGCAGCACTTCTGCAACACGCTAATACAGATCACCGCTGGTTCCGTTCCAGAAAAGCACAAAAAGTGCAAAATGAACGTGTTTCTCAAAATACCAGTCTGGTGTGCGCCCCCTGGTGGATGTGGTATGAGCGTGAATGAGCATAAACAGCAGCCTCAAAGAAGACATACATAAAATTGCAACACACACCGTTCAGAGTGAGGACCCTGCTCAGGCATTAATATTCTGGCAAAGGTGGGTTTTGAACCAGTGACCTTCTGATCACCAGCACTGAAGCCTAACCCACTGCGTTCCCTCCATGCATGTGTCTGAGTCAGTATGAGGGAGGCTGTGTGGTGCTGGGGTGTCTAACGTCATCCACAAAGTTTGGGCTCCCTTGCAGCTCCAATTTTCAGCAAAGGTGTCTGACAGATGTGTGAATGTGTGGGGATTTTTCCTCTCGTGTGTGAACGTGCGTCCAGATCATCTCATGCCTTGTGCAGAAAAACCCATCACTCACTGACACCTTGTTGCTAAGTGGGAGGTTTGTTGGCGGCGAAGGTGAGATTGAGGCTAAAATTACAAATTCTGATCTGAGGATGGGGTTCTTCACACGGCACCAGGCATGAAAGCAGGGCGTGCTGGAGGGCGGTGCCTTATAGCCTCCCCCCCCCGGTGATGGGATCGTGATTACGGCCCCACGCTGCTATATTACTGCCGTCGAGTTAGATGATTCATACCATCTACACAGGTAAATTAAACACTGAAACGAATTATCCATCCCCACGGATGCCGCATACTTTGGTAATCTAGCCTTTCTTGTACGTCATTAAATCACACGCTCCGATTGAATTTCACATCATTTGCGTAGCAAACTCAAAAAGATGAATGCTGACGAACGCTGTAGCCATATCGCATGTGTGTTTTTCCTTTTTGCTGTGAACAGACCTTTCATGAATGACATCTGGTAAACAGACTGACAAAAAAACCTTTCAGTATTTCGCATCCGTGCAAGCTTAAAGGATGTCATCTGATTTCCTTTTTAGCACGAATGTGCAAATATGGCGCTGGCGTGGTCGTGCCTGGCGGGGTGTCCGTGTGCAGAGGCAATTCACGCCGCACCGGCTTCTGCGCACTTAGCCGCATGAATACTCGCAGCATCTTTTACGCGGCGCAGCGGGGATTGAATATGACCCGTCTTTATGTCCAGCTTCCTTTCACAGTGCTGAGATGGAACCACTAAAATGAATAGTTTATGTGGAGTATAAATCTGTTTTTTTAATACAGTTTGTGGGAAAGGATTGTTTTCTGAGAAGGGACCCGTTTGTTTAATGAATGTCCTGACAGAGTGAGTTTGCCGCCTTAATTTAATGGCCATGAATTTTGCTCAGAAGCACCATTGTTCTGTCCTGCCTCAAGAACGCGTCCCCCCATTTATTTTATCGTGTGGCGCCCCCCACTAATACTGCACGGATTGGCGTGCTGCATTTCATTCTCGTAGGTGCATCTGTCAGGCTTTGTGAAATTCTCTGCTTAATCCTGGACAAGTTTAATTTTTTAAAATTCCTTTTTATTCATAATTTATTACAGAAATGCAAAAGCTTGGTCGCAATTAGAGATAAGAAACCGAACATTGCCTGCAAAGCTGCAGACGTGGCCTTTTAATAATAAGAGTTCGCCGTGAGGAAGATCAATGGACCCATGTTTGGTATATGCCCCGTAAAGGCTCCTCTCTCCGGACTCTCCCGGACGTCCTCTCTGACCTCACTTCCTGCAGCGGGTTCTCAGCACCATGATGACTTTGGGAGCCCCAGGATCCGAAGTGCTTCTTAAAGAGCTCCAGTAGGTCTTCTGCCCAGGATGACCTGGGATATGGAATTGAATGACAATGATGTTCTCTGAGGCAAGTCCTGGTCCAAGATGATCTCCGAGTACCTGTTGCCTTTTAATATAGCGTCAGTATTTATGACTGCCTTCGGTTCAATGCTTGGAAACTCTGTTGCTGCAGGAAGAAGACAATAGCAATAACAGCAACAATGAGATGGTATGAAAAAAATATATATGAAATTTGGAGTTAAGTGAGTTTTGTCAAAACAGAAATGGAGTGCCAGAGTTAATCCTGGTTAACTGCCCTCAGAGTCAGGAAATTTCATATCTTTTTTCTGAACTTGCTTGTTTTTTTTTCCAATCGTGCTTTTTATTACTGGCTGATTAAAGCAGATAAATTTTTCTTAAAGGAGAGCAATCTTTGTAGATTTTCCCCTGGCCTCACTTCTCAGACTTCCTTATTGAATGACCCCGACGAGGCTGCAGAGAGGGGGACTGTATCAAAGCTGAAAGACAAAGCTTTGATTTGTTGTCTTTCCCCCCCCCCTGCGACCGAGACGGAGGCACAGAATCTGCTCGTTTGGAGTAGAGTACTTTGGGGTCTGTGTTCGCTGTACATAGCCGGAAATCATCCATGTGCTGCAGCAGGGGCAAATATCAAAGACCATTATAATGAACAACTCATGGAGACTCATAGAGACTGGACTTGGACTTCCTACCATCCATCCATCCATCCATCCATCCATCCTACCATCCATCCATCCTACCATCCATCCATCCATCCATCATCTTCCACCCTCTGGGCTTGGCCAATGTAATGCAGACATACTGACCATGAATTAGAATAAAAAAGTAAAGCAAACGGTTTCAAGTTATTGTTGTCACATATCTTTCGAGAAAGACAATAAAATTCTTGTGTCACAGTTACGGGGGAGGGGGCAGGTGCATAGGGGCAAAACATTATGCAGTGAAGTAGAAAACAAGACAGAATCAGTACAATACGGGGAGTGAAACACGCAGTATCGCAACTGCATATGTGAGGATTATTCATAACAGCACTGCCGACAGATGGTACCATGCCTTTTAAATATACATTATAAAGTAAGTTACTTGTATATGTGCTTTGATTTTCTGAGGGTTGTGTGGGTTTTGAGGTTCACACTTTGATTATGACGACTAAACAGCCGTAAAAAATAAGATGGTCAGCACATGATGCGGCTGTCGCTTGGTGCCGTTCATTCCAAGAAGCTGGACACGGCAGGGCGCAGGACATTTACAGGTGTGTGCAGGGTTACGGCCTGCCAAGGGACGCCAAGTGACACGCTGTCAAAATGCTCCTCTTCATTGTGGGATCTTCTGTCACAGTCACAGATTATCTGCCTTCAGTCAAATACGTGCATGATAATTATATCAGCAAATCGCGCAGGCCGTCTAATCTGTTTATATCATTGATTTATCAGTGTGTGGAGAAGGACATTATTCTCTATCGCTGATTTGCAGAAAATAGTCATCATTATTGTAATCAACCCTGCGGAATTATGCAGAATTTTTTTTTTACTGGATTTAAGTCCAATTACGCGAAAGAGGAATAAATTATGCAAGGATTCTCCGTTTCATTCACTCTTTTTTTTTACACCCCCAAGAGTTTTATTAAAAGCTGTCAGTTTTAACTTGAGTATTGCCATCTGGAAAGCAATGTATGCAAATGATTCACGCAATCAGTGGGAAAATAAGTAACGAAGCGTAATGGGATTGTATTGTCGATGTCATTAGACAACTTAATGAGTGTCACCTCTGCTTTGATTTGTCTGGGTTTGCTTACAAACTGGCTTCAACCAACAGTCTCCAGTCCATGTACTGAAAATCTTCCACCTAAAATGTGGAGGAGAATGCAGACCTGCATCAGGGCCACAGCTAGAAATTCTGGGCCTCCTCACCTAATAAAATGTATAATTTTAGATGTCCAGGGGCCCCTGTAAACTGCACAGCTGCTCTGCATATGTTTTAGTGACCGCCTTAACAACAGCATTGATGATCACAGTGTTAGTCACATCCACGGGCCTTTCAAACTACTGAGTAACCTAGAGTGCTCCCCCTGTGGTCTGGGGGTGGCAGTGCCATGGATAATGATGATAGTGGTGGTTTTCTCTGAGGTTTTCTCTCTTCTCATGTTTCCCTGCATAGGGCAGTTCCTGTCTGTGAATGGCTCTGTCCTGGGGGGGCCCTGGGTGACCAGTCCTTGGCTGCGGGGGGGCCGCTGGCGCTGCAGCTTGGACATGTCCATCTTCCTCCACCCCCAGCAGAGTGGACGCTACACGGTGTGGCTAATTGAGCGAGACAAGAAGCCCAGCGTCCTGCTCACCACGGACACGCCGCGCAGCCCGGGGTGAGTGACTCTGATTGGTCAAAGGTCACATGGTGCCTGAAAGTAGGAACCTCTCAAATCCTTCTGTTTTTTTTCTCCCTTCAGATGATCTCATATTACTGCGTATTTGCAATATGATGGAAAACTGTAGGCCAATAAGGCAAATCTTCCTGGCAGATGGGTATATCATTCCGCCATTCCGGCCATCTGGCAGGCTGCTGATGGCGAGATGGGTGCCGTTTGTGCAATGAAGTGTTTTCCTGTTCCCTGTCAGCGCTCGGTGACCTCTCTGATCGGGTCAGACCGAGAACCTGCGTATCTGTCTGCATGGCTCACCGTTGCTAAGAAAACTTGGACCAAAAACACACTTTAGGAAAAATAACACTTTTAGAAGATTTTCAGATGGGGAAATATTTGATAAACGCAGAGTCAGCTGATATTCTTGTGATGAATGATCTCGAAAGCAGGTTATAGATTATTCAGGCGGATGCCATGGGCACAGGCGCTCTAATTAGGGTCGGGGGGGGTTGGGACGTCTCGCCGAAGGCCGCACCCCCTCGCCAGGATGAGGCCGACGATCCGGAACGCTGGAAGCGGACAAACCGCGACTGAGAGCGAGAAAATACTGTGTAGACAGACGAAGAGAGGAAATTAAAAAGTGAGGATCATCATCTCCCTGGGCAGTCAAAAGAGGAGGGGAAAGCAGACCGGTGTCTGCACACGGTCAGCGTTTTAGGGTGGGGGGGGTGAGAGGAAGAGAGGGGGAGATGGGGGGAGAGTGAAGGAGAGAGAGAGGGAGGGGGACAGAGGGAGAGCCAGCCATGGTGAGGTGTGCGCACCCGCTGTTCCGTTACACATCCTGCTCATGACCATCCTCGCTTTCTGTGTCGCACACGGCAGTGTGTGAGCTTGGGTGGGGCCGCTGTAGGGACCTGGCTGTGTGTGGGTCAGAGTTTGGGGGCCCTTTGTCTGGAGTACGAGTAAAAGCAACCTGCTTAGCATACGAGCTAGCCGTTAGCGCAGGCTAGCCGCAATTAGGCAGGCTTCCTCGTAGCTACCCTGCTCTTCCTCATTAATATTCTCCATTCCCCTGCGCCGTTTCTCCTTCAGCGGACACTTGTGACGTGCCGCTACTTCACGATAGCTCTGTGAACTCTGCCGTCGTCTGGCGCGCGGAGAAGGTTTAGCGCTGCTTTGGTGAACTTTCCTGGCAGGGCGGCCTCTGCCGGGCGCCACAGGTGCTCGCTTTACCCCGAGCTGGTGTTATCCCGTGGGGGGGGGGGATTGGGAAATGCCAAGGCGTGACCAGTTAACCCCCCTACATAATCCCCGAAGCACACACCCACCCCCGAGCCTTATGAACCGGGCCCAGCTCCTCACCCACAGCCCCACAAGGGCCTTGGCTGCTGTTAATATGCCAAAGAAATCATTATTTTCAGCTGGATCTGTTCTGCCGTAGATGAGAGCAGTGAATGAATGGAGAGGAGAGATGGATTGGGTTACGTGGACAGTCTCCTGTGTGCCTGGACCAGTTTGGAAGTGAGTGTCTGAAGAAATGGTAGCTCTGCTCTGCTTGTTTCTTACCATCTAGAGTGAGAAGGCTGTGCCTTGGCTGTGTGCCCTGTGCTCTCTGAGACAGGCTGTGGTCTCCTGCAACCCCCAACAGGACCAGTGATCAGAGGATGGATGGATGGATGGATGGATGGACACAGTGCTGGTCAACTCATTAGAAGATGCAAGCGGTGGTTTCTTTCAGTGCAACTTTTCTGCTAACCTTCTACTTTTCTGTATCATGGCCAAAAAGAAAAGAGGAAAATATTAAAAGGTGGAGCCGTCATGGAAAGCTGAGATTCACTGAACAATGACAAGGTCGTTAAGATGCATATTAACACACATTTAAATTCAGACTCACTCGTTACATTTTCAAAGAAAAACAGAGTAGCTGGAGTCTACATTTTAAATGTGTTTTATCTTCTAATTTCTCTTGGTTAATAGAAGCATATGTAGGAGATGACCTGTAACATTTACATTATATTCACTCTGTAAAGCTTGCACCTGTTTAGGATCAGCGTGCGGTCTGCGTATCGAGCATCACCCCGTGGGTGCAGCTGGCTTCGGCGTGATATTGGGGTTTTCAGGTGGGGGGGTGTCAGGGTGGTCTGGGGCGTGACCGGGGAGCATCCCTGTCGAGCCAAACCTTCAGGGCTGTTGGGAAGATGGGCCACAGACAAGCTCTGATGCCTCGATCAGCTGTCCTGTCTCATTATGGTCTGGCCCGGAGTATGACGTCCTTGGTGCGTGACTGAGTGTCTCCCCAACTTCAGGTCGGGAGAATTGCCATATCATTCCCTGCAGCACTCTTAAATACAGTCCATCTGAGCTCAAAGAGGCCAAATGACTTCTGTTACCAATTGCCCTTCACTCTTATTGCATTGTTCAGTATAAAATGCCTTGTTTGATCCCTTAATGGGCAGTTATTTGACGCGAGTTGTGCCCCATTGCCTAGAACAGCCCATAACTCCTAATTTATTGTTTACATGTGACCGTGCTCCTCTGAAATGAAGCCAGGTTTATGTCTCTCAGTGTTTAAACATGGAGGAGGACCAGACCGAAAACGTTGCGGGGGGGGCGCCTTCTTTCTCATACAGAAATAAGCAAGCAGATGTTGAAGCCTGATTTGGCACCACAGACTCGAACGGGGAGCCATTTCCTCATTGCGTCGAGCGTGGATTCAGGGACGTCGCACACTGCTTCTCGGTCATCGTGTGAGTCCGCCGGCAGGCTGGCAGGAAGCCGAACCACCACCCCCGCTGGCTCCTGACCCGTCTGTCGTGGCGGGGGTCGCTTTGCGAGATCCGCGGGAGCGACAGCCTTTGCACTAAGGGTCAGAGCGATCGCCCACTTCCCTTTCCTGCGACCTGGGCCAGCGATCCTGACGGATTCATCTCGCCCGGGATGACATCCAAGGACTCACGGAGAAAATGTGTCTGCAGAGACCTTCACGCCATGATTGCGAGCCCCCGCCCATGTCATGCATTTAAAAAGCTTGCTTGAAATGGCTTACACGAAAAGTTTATTGTGGTAGAAATGGAGGGGAGGGGGGGATAGGGACATTTAAGTGTAAGAGTGTGCAATAAAGGAGAATGTGCTGCAGTGTAGAGGCGGAGTGGGCCGGGATGCGCTCTGTGGGATTAGCGGAGCGGCACGCTGATATGGGGGGGCTGAGTCTGAGCGCGAGGGCGCCTCTTCCTGGCTGAGAGGCACTGTTTTCCTTTCAGGTCCATTGTAAAGGCTTTTAGCAGAATAACTGACAGCTAACGAGCTAATGGAGAGAGTGGCGGCTGGGAGGAGCGGAAGCAGCGGCTGTGTTTGCAGGACTTTGCTGTTTAGTTGGCTTTGAGGGAGGAGTTCAGCCATAATGATATAGTTTAAAGTGTTAATCTGCTGCAGGCCCACCCTCGTCATCCTCAGCGATATTACCCCACCATACACGCAAAAACAGACAAGAGTCGTGTGGCCAACTGCCCTCATTGGCCATCCGGCCGTTTCAAGCTCCAGTCAGCTTCTTCGTTGCAATGCTGATGGATGATGTCACCCTGCAGGCCACTCCCACCTGTTCACATGAAAGCTATATGGGTGTGCTGGCCGAGGATCCCAGCAGGGGTGCTGCCGGCTGTGTTAGCCTTGAGCAGAGAGCACTAGTGGGGGTACGTGGGTAATTATGGGGTCTGTGGGTAGAAAACGGAGTGTGTAGAGTTAAATCATTCCAAGGCAAAGGGTCCTCTGTAAATATTCAGTTGTGTGAATATATATATATATATATATATATATATATATATATATATATATTCACACAATACATATATAAGTGGCGTGTAGAGCAGCATGCATGTCATTCTCCGTCATGCATTGCCGGCTATCCACTGGGAAGCGGCTGAAATCCACCAGTCTCATTCATCATAGCTTTGCTGGCCTCTCTGGCATGAATAACACTCTGTATATATAGTCTTTTTCCCGATGAAACCCAGGGAGGTAGCTGCCCAGATTCAGGGAGGTGGCGATGGGCTGTTTTCTGGAGGCAGTGCCCCGTGACCCACCGAGCGGCGAGTGCGTCCGTCGAGGGGCTACTCTGAGGGGAGTGGGGGGCCGGTCATAGCCCGCTGACGCCGCTTCCCCGTCTGCTCTACTTTCATCGGGGAATCGCTGGCCCACGACTGCGGCCGCCGTCATATTCGAAGGATTAACAGCACCTCTGGGCTTTAATTCGCAGAAAGCACGCAGGACGGACGGAGCGGAACGGCGATTTAACAGTCATTTATATGTGTGTCGGTCCAGGGCGCCGAGCGCTTCAAGAGCAGCCGACTTATGGGGCTGGAACCGGCTCTCGCTGCGGATGGAGAGTGCAGCTTATTGCGTATAACACAGCGGTGGGGTGAACAATCCGGGCCCAGTGGCTGGGGGTTGAAAACAAGAGCAGGGGATTGTGGGACGGTGATAAAGCAGCAACAAGCACCTCGGCGTCAGGACTCTGCTCCGCCAGTTAACGGTGATGCCTTTGTACGTTCTGCAGGGAAGGAGACATGGGTGTGATTGATATATGTAGCCCTGTCACCTGTCTCTCGCCATGGATCCAGCTCATTTGTCCTCTTTATAGATACAGCACTTTTATTTCGGATTGAGTCAGTATCACCCTGAATGAGACTGCAAGCTGCGATAAGGACCCCGGGCCAGTTAAACATGACGGTTCTAGCTAATGATTATCATAATCTTCATATAATTATGATAGATGGTTCAATTATTGTATTATTCATGCTGTTATTGGCATTAACATGTCAGTATGTAATATTAGTATTAATATTATTAGTCTTTTAATTACCTGACTGTTTTAGTTTTAAAATAATTTATTATACCGTCCCATGGGCACAATAAGAAACACTGCCACTGTAACGTTATTTAATATATAAAGAAGTGCATGCGCTGTCTGCGCAGTAACCACACTGAAGCTGGTGTGACGCCCCATT